AACGAAGAGGCAAGATGTGCTGTTACTCCGAGTTTCGTGCTTACACACTCATCAGACAGTATTTAAAATTTAGCATATTTAATCAGTTTTTAAACCATTTCATGGCTTTTTAGTGCAAAGATCAAAGCGAGAGAAAAAGTACTAGATGAATCAGGAAGTATCGGACTCTAGAGTATATAAAAACAGAGGAATTTGTATAATCTAGTTACTAAATGGATWTCATGGTTTTAGTGTCWGCACTCTATCAAGTAAATTATTCCCTTATTACTGGAATCTCGACCACACTGTCGCTGCGTGATATCTAAATTCAGCTTGCATGTTCAAATTCTGTAAATAACTTTAATTCTTACCTTCATAACCTCCRGGAGTTCTCAAAATATATATTTTTTCGCACTTATGTCCATTTCAAATGTAGAKTTAAGTCTGACGTCCGGTAATATTAAAAAAACAATGTTTAGCTGTAAACGTTCAACGTACGTATAAACACACGAATGACGAATATCCACAGTCTCGCAGAGCTTATATAGTATCAAGGTAACACCGAGTTACTCTGTCGAAATCAACTTACTAGACAATGCTAGATAAATCACGGAACTAAACTTTATACATCGTTGAATACTAGAGAATAACAATCGAAACTGATGGACACGACGTAGACTGAAACAACTCACTTCTTGTTATGACCGTTGACCTTTTCCGTCGAAAAACATCAGATGATAAACAGCAATTCATTCCTTGTCATGATGTTCCAAGAAACCTTTGCGAGGCGAAGGACAACTCACTCGACGATGAAAAACCAAGAGAGCTCAGTATTCCATGTGGTCGAAATTTAAACTATCATATTTCAGTGTCGACAACATGCGGATAAAGGGGCAATGTTCAACAGGTATTTGATATTCCATGTGACTCATGTGTTTGTGTTTTTTTTTTTATTTTAAATGAAAATCTGTTCATTGAAATATCCATTCGCAGTTCGTATCCACTTTATCTACTTCATTTGCTTATAGATATGACGGTTGTAAATCCCACTTGAAAGGATTATATGAATTTACATACAGCTATTTGCAATAATTCTGACCCCCTCTGCCATATTTCAAATATATCAAACTGACCTTAAATATTATGGGACTATCATGACTGATATATTTTTTGAGTTGTCCAGAATGAATACTTTCTAAAAAAAATATCAGCAATGGTATCCCATAATTTCTATATATAATTTGCTATTTTGATATATATGAATATTAGTGTAGGGGGGTCAGAATTATTGCAAATGGCTGTAAACTGAAATAATAATGATAAATATTATAATCATTATCATCATCATCATCTTTATTCCTCATAAACCTATATATAATAATATTAAAAACTAATAAATATTTACAAATCTTAATGAAAATCTAAAATAATATAATTTAAAAATGTTTATAACTATATTAAAAACAACGTAATAATAATAATAATAATAATAATAATAATAATAATAATGATCATCATCATCATCATCATCTTTATTTCTCATAAACCTAGTTAATATATATTTCCAAATCTTAAATATTATGACTTTTTTTATCGTATTTATTAGGTT